AGAGAGAGAGAGAGAGAGACTGACGTTCAAACAGCGTCAATAAAACAACACTTCCGGTTATTCGTTTTCAAAATAAAACACAACCGACTGTTGCTGTAGAGAGTAACGTCAAATAACGGTACCAAAACAAGGCTGGGTTATATATAGTGCAAATTAAATAATTTTAAAACGTGTTTTAACACTTAATTGATTATGGGTGCCCCCGCCAAGCATGAGAAATTTTAAATTTTTACACTGAAAAATAAAGGCGCCCGTTTCGGACATAATCTGATTTTCTTTGGCAAGCTTGACTGAACTGTAGCGAGAAGGAGCAAGGGATGGAGAGGGGGAGATGTAGGGAGGGGATCTGTCTGAGATGTGTGTGAATGTGTTGGTAGTTCGGTGTTAAGAGGGGAAAAGATTGATTTTGACACCCCAGGAAAGGGCTGCTGTAACCGACAGTTAGCTGCCAGTGATTGCATTCCTTTACAGCAACACAGCTACAGTTTTTTAATCAATTCAGTAAACCCCGAGCTATGGCAAGGTTGGACACCAGGAGCTACCACATTCCCGAAAATGAAGCAATGTCTGATTTAATATGGAAGCCAGAGGGTTGCAGTGCCATGAATACACAAACATTAATTTGCCAATTTCAACACACGAAACTTCCAAATTCAGTGTTTCCTCAACCTTTCTGGTTTGTGACCAGAACAAGTGTGAAAGTGTGAAAACAAAACAATGTCTTCTGCTAGTACATTCTAGAGGCGAAATGAATGGACTAATTAATTCACAAGAAAACAAGTAAAAATGAGCGGAAAGTCTGAATAAGTAACCTGAACAACTACCAAACTGTTCTAAATTATCTTCACACTAACATTTGCTTGACATTTGCTCATTATAATAATAAAAAATACAGTATCAGATGTGATCTTATATCAGGGGCCATATGTTGGTGATGCCCTGCAGGGCATTTGTTTTTCAGATTAGACCTATGTGCATCCTTGCTAGCTGTTACCCTTCATTAACTGTGTAAGTTAGGCTACATTTGGGAAATGTAAAAAAAAAAAAAAAGATTGCTTTAATTAAGGAGTACCATGAACTGCGGATTCTTGTTCATTTTCTTACAGCAACACTCCTTTCATAGTCGAATGAAGCAGCTGCTGCATATGATGTTTTTCCAGCTGTATCCTCCTAACAAGAGCCCGTACAGCACAGCTATACTCCCCCTCACAGATTTGAGCCTTTCAGTTTTCACCCTGTGGCAGAATCACTGGTTTTCCTCTAACGGCCGTATGTTCTTCAATTATTCCCCCATGTTTCGTCTTCTGTTGGGTGTGGGTGTGTGTTCTGGGGATTAGAGAGAGAGAGGGCAGACCTCAAGTGACTTAAGAGGATAACAAAGATAGAACAGAGACACACACACACACATATGCAGACAAACACACACAGGACCACATTAACACGCACACACAGTCACTTACACACACACATACTCCCAATTGGCTGTTTCTATGGGTAGTGGCAGCTAAGTTACAGCAGAGCAGTAACGTGGGAAGGATGGTGCAATGAGCAAATTTCTACTTGTGGTTGAGCCACCAGCCCGGCAATCATACAGGACAGGGGGCAGGAGTAATTCACTGTGGCATCACTGAAGTGTTGCTTGTTATGTTATTGACAAATACACATTTCACACAAACTCATGTGGAGATGTGGAGTAGCCTGGTTGTCTTCCCTTCTTTCCAGCAGCTCTTGCAAGCCCAAACAGTTCATAACTAATACATTATTCAATTGTTTATGACTTCTAAATTATTCATCTTATTAACAAATAGATTCATTCAGTAAAATACTGCATAAGAACTTTGAGTTTGCCAAGAATTCACATTAAAAAGCATAGTACTTACAAATGTTAACTTTATCTTAGATAGTTCAATCAGCATACATGAACATGAACTTTTATTTTTCATATTAACAAACCACTGAACCAGTGATGCAGGATATCAGGACACATGAAAAAAACAAAAAGCCTATGTAACCCACAGTTCATTGTTGGGTTTAATACTGACAAAAACACATTTACCCTACTACGAAATAGGTGAAATTGCTAACATAATTAGCTACATGTTTATGCATGCACATACAGTAGGCATAACAGACATAACTGTCCACACTAGGCAGTGTTCTGTTGTTATATACCAGTGGTCTGTGAAATGCCATGGCGTTTACTTGAACCTTCACATTCTTTTAAGGTAATTCTTATCCCTCTGCGATAAAGCAGAGTTATCGGAAAAATCATTTGCTGTACGGCCATTTTTTAATCAGTTGCAGGGTGCACTACAGACAGTCAATTAGTGTTTGACACAGCTTCTCCTTTTCATCTGACAAGCAGTTAACAACAATAGAATGAAAGGTTACCAGGAACATGTAGGTGTTTGATGCAGCACGGCAGTAAAGGTCAGCTGATGATTACAGTAGGTTTCTTTTGGGAAGATGTTGTCCTCAATCACAGACGCTCAAGACTCAACATGTTGGACTAAAACTTAGTGTAACAGTGTAATACTGGTCTCAAACAAATAACATGTTTTGTCCATCTTTACTATGTGTCATTACAAAAGACTTGCCCACTTCGTCCAGTGTATTTCAGTACCACGGAGAGCTCCCTCACTCTGCTCAGAATGACCTCTGTCCAGCAGGGGTCGCGGTTGAGTCGGTTTTCCTCTGTGGAACCATCGAGCTATAGCTCCTCGGAAAGGGGGAGTGGAAAGAGTGTGACACAGTTACCGAACTGTAACAATGTAAACAGCAGGTAACTTAAACAAATTATTTCACATTTCCTACCCTTACACGTAGTGTGTTTTGTAATATAACCGTTTGAAGGTGCTGTTGTTCAGTGTCATTCATACTTCTCCTCAAGTGTGTGTCTGTCGCTTTGCTGTGCTAGGCTAATTACTGTTAGCCGCCTGTTCAATGTCAAAGCTTCGTTCACTGATTGTTGTTTTGTTTGCTGTCCAATAGCGTCAAACGTGTGAAGGCGACAGTCTCAGGTGTGTTGAACCATTGACAGTATATATATATAACGTATATGTATATATAAGAGCTGAACTTGTGCACCTGCCACCAGTGCACTAGATCTACACAGCACCAGACCAAAGAATTGTCTAGTTTACTTGTGATTTAAAGTCAAACATCGCACAGTTTATTTATGATCTGCCCTGTCTCAAGACATCAGTTGCGTATAGTAGATGAGCCATGGCATTCATGTAAAATCCAATATAAATCCTTGGATCAGTCATTCAGATAAAGGTGTTTTTCTTTTTGTAGCACTTTTCAAGCAAGCAGGACTAAGGGAATAATAAAATGCAAAAAGGGCATTATACCACATATATGGGACATAAAATGCATTGGTTTGGGATCTCTAAAACAGGGTAAGTCATGCAAATACAAGACCAAATATATTTAGAGGAAACACAAATGGTGGTAACATGGTAATGTGGCTATCGCCTTATTATATGAACAATATATCTTGTGTTCGGACAGGAAGGTGACAGGCATTATATAGTGCACATACAGTTTACCATTTAACTACCAAAGCACATGTTTACATTGTAAGTAGTTCCTCAAGTGATAGCTACATAGCTGCCAGAGAGGCTAGCTGAAGCAAACCAACTTATGTGTGGACATTGGCAGGTGTTCATTTCCCGATAGACTCTCTCTACACACTCACATACACATTAAAACAAAGTGCCACTGCAGTCGTTCCCCTCCTCCAGTGTCTGACTCTGGCAAAATGCCGCCACATTTATTCTTGCCAGTGTTTCTAACAGCTTTGGGTGTCCCAGTGATAAATGGGCAGAGACTGGCTATGCTATGGGTTGCTTCTCACTGGGGCCACCTATACTAACGCTGTACTCATACATTGTAGGGTGCTTTGGGATTACAAATGACAAATTGGTTGTTAAGGTTTAATGCAACAAAGGCGAACCTCTGCCAAACTTTTATAACGTGGCAGGTACTTATAAGCACAGACTGACTTTTCGATATATAAAATCTTGGTGCAGAGTATCCTGCATAATGCTTCAGAAGAGGACTCACTCTCTCTCTATTTGTCAGCTTCTTTCAGTCCTCTCCTTTTCTTCCCGCTGTGTGACTCCCACATTGTTAATAACTCTTTCTTCTGCTTTCCTCCAGAGTTCTTTGACAGTGGTGTGAGGGGGGTAAACCAAGATGGCCACCAGCCGCGTTCCACTAGTCTTGTTAGCCTGTGGCTCCTTTAATCCCATCACCAACCAGCACATGCGGCTGTTTGAGCTGGCCAGAGACCACATGCACAGCACAGGTCAGATCCGGACATCACAGACACTGTGCCAGTTAATCGTTTAATGTGTTTTATTTGACTTTCTAGATAACCTTCAGGGTCAAAGCAGCTGCTGTAAAAGCTCCTAGATAATAGCCACCAATTAATATTATTTTTATTAACAATGAATCAAATGGCTATGTGTATAGTGAGAGTGCGGTTGCTCACAGAGATAAACCTATGGAGAATTATGACCCAACTCTGCAGCTCTACAAGGCTTTTTATACTCATTGTTCTTCTTTTATGTTCTACAAATTTATGGCTTGGTTTCCCCGCTCTCATCAACCGCAGCAGCATGGAGTTGTTCCCAGCAAACAAGCCCTGATAAACCTACTGTCTCTTATCTACCCAGCACCAAACGGCAGACGTACAAAGTTAGAGACTAGCTGGAGAAGAAAGTTGAACACCTAACAAGCCAAAGATGTATTTGTCTCAGAAATTGGTTGAATCCAAGAGCTCAAAGGAGAATAAATATTAGACCTGCATGTCAGGTGTCCAACACAAACATGACTTCAAATGAATGCTAATGTGGCTTTGTTTGTGATGTGTTTGTTTGTGATGAGAAAGCAGGGTATTTGCTAACACCTTTGTAACAACTTTATAAGACAATAACAGGGCTTAGTTTTTCAGCCTGTTGTGGAATCCTAGCCCCCTAGTGGCCCGAATATTGATTAATGCAGCTTTAAACACCCCACATTATTGTGTATTTGCTGAACTGCAATCAACAACATGAATACATTAAAAGTAAAAATTCATCTCATTGACTGTTTGCAAATATACAAACCATGTGTGACTTTTTTCGGATGCTGCAGAGACCTAGGTTGCGCTCCTTATTGTTTTCTTTTTGTTTAAATTATGAAGTCAGTCACCTGAGGTTGCGTGTCTTGACATGATGCCACACAGCCCCATGTAACCGTGTCAGCAGACACAGTCTCCTTATATAAACCCAGGGCCATTTGCTTCCAAAGCTGCTCTTAATACGAGTACTGGCCTTGTCACATGGTCATAACAACATCATTATATCTTAAGAGTTACTACTAGTCCTGAGTCAGCTCTCTCTAAGATGCTTTCATATAAGTTGCACGAACATAAATAATGCTCTTATAGTTTCCCTTTGACCCCTCACCTATAAGACATCAGCTGACTAAATTGAGGGTAATGAGAAAATGTGTTTTCATTCTCCTGTTTGCTAACTGTTTGTGCTACTGTCGCAAATACGACCCGTGTTTAAACTTTTAGTCTAACTCATTGTTTAAAGCTGTTTCTAAGCCCCTCAAATCGATTACACATTATAAGCCACGAGTAATTATATAGTTTGATACTTCATGTCATGCTCAAGTGCCTTCATCTCCCTGATCAGTAAAAAGATCAGTTGTGGCGTTTGTCCTCAAATGTGAGATCTGATGAAGCAGTAATAATAACATCAGTATCTCTCAGAGATTACCACTGATTTATATTCCATTTCTCTATCGGCTGTCATGACCCAGAAAAACTGTATTAATCTTCTCTCCCTCCAGGCCAGTACCAGGTGGTGGGTGGCATCGTGTCTCCAGTGAGTGACGGCTATGGAAAGCAAGGCCTGGTACTTGCTAAGCACCGAATTGCTATGGCAAAGCTGGCGCTCCAGAGCTCCAACTGGGTCACGGTTGATGAATGGGAGAGCGAGCAGCCAGACTGGACAGAGACTGTGGTCACCATGAGGTATAAAACATGTTTAAAGCAAGGAAAGTGTTTGGTCCCTCTGTCACCAGTTGCCAAACTACATCAGTGATTAGATCCACTATTACACAACATCTTTATAATGCAGTAAGTAATTCCCTGTCCTTCCATTGTGTAAATCAGAATGCTCCCGTCGTTTATGAGAGAGGAGATTTACTTCACAGAAATGTAATTTGGGCAGAGTACAGAGAAAATGCGATTTTTTTTCTGTGTTGACCTACACAAGTGGTTTCCAATCAGAACCCCCACTAGAGGTTGCCAAAGCTTCACGGGGGGTTGAAAGGCTTAATTTAAAGGAGTGCCAACAGAACAATGGCCAGGTGTCAGGGAGAAGAACACAGAGGATGTGCCAAAAAAGAGGCCTATAAAGTATGTATGATTGTTAAAATATATACATAATACAAACAGAGAACTGAATAAAAACCTCCATAAAAACTAATTTCTTATGCAATATTCACTGAAAATAACTAAACTAAACAAAATTCATCCAAATTGCCCATTTTACTCAAAGTAGCAGTTATTGTGTTCACTGTTTGGGTTAATGGTATAGTTTATCAGTTGTTTTGTACTCTTATGTATTGAATACAATATGAAATATCCATAAAATGTGTCACTTAGTCAGGGGTCGTCAGTTTACTAGATAGAAGAAGTGGTTTTCCCTAAGGAAAAAGGTTGGGAACAACTGACCGAACAGTGTCAGAGCTGTGATTATGATTATGCTCCTTACTGACATGATAGCATGTCACGGGAGATCTTTTGGTTTCATGGCAGGACCAAACACATCATGGTTCTGACTGTTACTCTGTAACTGCTCATGGTTTCCATTAGCTTTTACTGTCTCCTGTTACATCCTTCTTTATCCTTGTTGGAACAGAAATACTTTTTCTTTTCTGACACGTTGTAGATTTTCACGGTAATGTACCCTCCTCTGCCCGCCTTGCTGCATGCCAGCTTCAACTTCTTATGTAACAGAATATTGCCAGGTTCCCTGAGCCTAAATTTCGGGTTCTGGTCTCTTGGGGGCTGCCAGACTAGACTGAACCCATGTCAGGTCTGGGTTTTTCATGAGGTAAAATTGAGGGCACGGGCTGTTAAATTCACTGGCCGAGTGGGAACAGTGTAGTTGCAAAAGGCAAGCAGAGGTGATGTGAATAAGGGATGTCTAAGTCTAAGTAATGGCCCACTCCATATCTTTGGCCCCAGGGAATTAATCATCTAATGGAAGAATTGTACCTCACACTGTATTATTGCACACACTTACTGTATGTCATGTATTAGACTTATTTTAAAAAGGCCTCCTACACCGGCATTGAACTTCTTCCATTTCATCCACTCTTCGTCTTTGCTGCTCCACATTTCTCGCAAATCCATTCATGGGTTAACCCCCCACCTCCACCCCCACCCCCAGGTGATTTACTCTAAGCAGTGTTTGCGCAACACGGGTGCTGATCAAGGCATGAAGTGACCCGTTGTCCAGAGCAGGCACACGTCATCTCACTCCCCGCAAATGTACTAGAACAGCTTTAAGAAGCTTTACTTGAAAACAGTGAAGTTTTTCATTCATCTTTTTTTTACAAGTTTCTCTGTGATTCTCTATAACTCAGTCCAGTTTTATAAGGCTCGAATGGCATTACATAGAAAAACATGTTGCCTATGCACGTGCATAAACAGTGACGTAAATAATACATGAATGTACAACAACAAGCTACTGCTAACAACCATTCACATAAATGAAAGAAATAAATTCTCCCTCTCTCTTTCTGTCATACCTTTGGTTGTTGGGCAGGTATCATTATGGGCGTATTCTGAAGGAGTATGAGCAGAGCACAGAAAGGCACAGTGACTCCAATGAAAACACCACTCCCCTCTCAAGTAAGAACCTCTTACTGTTGGGAACTTGGAATCAGCTCAGAAAGCCTTTGACTGTTTTCAGGCATTCTATAATTGGTATTAATTTGTGGCATTGGTAGTGAATTCTTCTCATTTTGGGATGTCGGTGTCGGTTGGTCAGTTCACCACATTGATTCTAATATGTCATGAATATAAATATAAATATCTCAACAAGAGTTGGATGAATGAAATTTTGTACAGACAGTTATGGCCCCCACAGGATGAATCCTGGTGTCTTTGGTGATCTCCTGACTTTTCCTCCAGCGCCACCAGAAGGTCAAAGTTTGACTTTGTCCAATACTTTAGTTGATGACCAAATACCTGCAAAACTAAAGCCATTTCCATTGGCCGGAGCTGCACTTTGTATTAGTGCTAATTAGCAATTGTTAGCATACTTACACGCTTAGATGGTGAACATGGTAAACATTATACCTGCTGAACATCAGCATATTAATATTGTAACTGTGAGCATGTTAGCATGCTAACTTTAGCATTGCTGTGCCAAAGTACACCCTCACGTACTCTTTTTGAGATTAGAGTTTACATAATAATAGTATTCTTCCGTCATATAAAACACACATTGCAAATTACGTATCAAATCTTTAACAAGCCCTACGGGTTAAGGATTTACATCAGTCCTACATAATGTGCCTGTGTGTGCTTAACACATGCAAAGTAGAAGCCTAATGGTGCTCTGGGGTTCTGACTAACAGTGTTTAAAGAGTATTAGGGATCATTTTAATACTGTTGAGACTTTGTGTGTGTGTGTGTGTGTGTGTAAAGGAGAAACCAATTCACAAATACATAGCTATAGCATCTGTGATTTATCAAAGTCATTAACAGTCATATCTGTTTGGGCCCTACAGCTTTTTTACATAAAGCTTTTATGAAACATAGAATTGTGGATAGGAATAGCTATGAGATCTGTCAGAGATGAAGTGGAAAACTGCGTATGTTGTTTGTAAAGGTGGACATTCTTGCCAAAACAAAGTCTCTGTTGGTCTGTTTTTAGTTAATTTATGTATAGTCTTCTAAACACAAATCGCAGTTCAGTTTGAGTTTGTGGTGGTGTTGTTAGGTTTCACTTTAGCCTCCAGCACCATGAATATCTAAGTTGTGACATTTGTGCAACTAGTATGTCAGTTTCCGTCATGTTCTGAATTTGGTCTGGTTCGGACTCAAAATGTTCACTCAATTTTTCCTCGATATTCACATCACCAATGCCTTATTCAATCAATCAATCAGAATGTATTACACTCAAACACACACACACACACACACACACACAAAGTAAAGTAAAGTAATATATGTTTTGGTGAACATATCTTATCAAGTTGCAGTGAGGAAACACTGGAGGACCATAGTGATAAAAAGATGCCTCATCATGGATCTTTGTTCTGACTTTTTAATTAAAAGGCCACTACCTGACCACCTAAGGGTTCTAGAGGGTTCATAGTGTATAAGCAAATCTAAAACCATTAAGAGCTTTACAAACCAACAAAAGGACCTTAAAATTGGTTCTGAAGCGCAAGCTTATTTAGCTTGATTGTGGATTAGCCTTTTGGCAAATGCTCCCTGGGCTGTTTCCATTTATTCTTGAGGATTATGTCACTCTTTGCCATCATGATTGCTCAGAAAATAACACAGAATTAGAACTGATACGTCAGTGATTTAATGAACAAGCCGATCACAGGATAATTTTGGGTGAAATCATTTGAATGAAACTAGTGATGCCAGAAAGGTGAAAATTAAAATTGTACAGGTGACTGATGAGTGAATACCTTTTGAAGGTAAAAACAAAGGATTAATGGGACCGATTTGAGGCAAGCTCTTTATTTTTATGAATCATTGTTTACATCAACAAGCACTATAAACCTTAAGGTAGAATTAGTTATCATACTCAGAATGAATTATATTGAGCATTAGCTCTGGCCCGTCACTGCATATCAACTCCCTCAGCATTAGGAAGAGTCAGAATGATAGAAATCACAACCTATTTATATGTGTATATGTGAATTTATTGGGTAGACATTCAAAGATGATTCTGATGAGTCTGATTAATAAAGAAGTAACCAGTCTTCCTCCTCACTACCTTATTCCACCTCTCCCTCAGGTCCCTGTCCCCAGCTGAAGCTCCTGTGTGGAGCTGATTTCCTCGACACTTTCAAGATCCCTGGCCTGTGGCGGGACGACCACGTGGAGGAGGTGTCCGGGCGTTTTGGCCTCGTCTGCGTCAGTCGAGGGGGGCTTCAGCCTGAGAGAGCAGTGCACGAGTCAGACACGCTCTCGCGCCACCGTCAAAACATTTTCCTGGTGAGGGAATGGGTTAGGAACGAGACAAGCGCCACAGAGATCCGCCGGGCTCTGAGACGGGGGCTCAGCGTAAAATACCTGATCCCAGACACTGTGATAGAATATATTCATCAGCACAATCTCTACACGGAAGACAGTGAGAGGAAAAATAAAGGCACGGTGTTGAGGCCGCTCGCCAAAGAAGCACAACAGCCAGTGAAGAGTCTGGATGACTGATTGATGGAAGGGTGCAGCTTTGAGCCGAACATGGGAGCCCTTGAAGTGTGAATTCACTCACAGATCACTGCTTCTCTTCATGGCCTGGTAGCTCTGTTGAATTCCACCGGACTGCAGCATGATAGAGGTTTGCACAAGCTGCAGATGCCTACAGAGACACACCAGTTGGCCTAAATGTGTTTTCCAACCATCTCTTGTTTTCAGTCAGAAGCGTCTACACGGTGTCTTTTGAATCATACACAGTGTTGCAGATACTGAGCCTCATCTTTGTGCCACAGTTTGAATGAACAATTGTTTGCTAAAAGTTTACATCCTTTGTAGTTTTACATATGGAACATCATTGCAGTTTAAATTAAAACCTGTATATTTGAAGTATTTTTGTCTGCTTGGTGTTTTTCCATGTAGCTAAAATATAATCATAAACCAGGCAGTGCTGTAACCAGGATTTTAGAAATAATGGGGTCATGAGTCCCCCCAACAACCCAAATCCCACCTGCAGAGAGAGAAGGAAGTTTGTACTAGATACTACACTACTGCCGTTTTACATTTTAATATATTTATATAAATATAAAACATATCAGAGTTGCCCAGGGATAAAATTATAAAGGCATGGACTTATTTCTTGTATTTCCCCTGGTGTTTTCAAAGTCTACCAACCTTTATCGAACAGAGACAGGCATTCAATGACTGATATTAAGATATATTAGAAAATAAGAACTTAAGAAACTGAAAACTGAATCATATTAACAAAGGATTTTTTTTCAGAAAGCAGAGAAGATCAAAAGCAGCAAAGACAACCAAACAAAATGACTTCATAAAAGACAGGTTGTGAAACATAGTTCAAGGTGCAAATATTCATCAGGATGTTATGGAGTAAAAAAAAAAAAGTGCCCTGTTCAGTTCCATTTTCTGAATATTTTATTTTACAACATGAAGGTCTTAAACTTGAGGGACTTGAAAAATGTATTCCACTGCATTTAAAATACAAGGATACGAAGTTTATTAATGGCCATTTTGTTCATCGTTCCTTGTATACTAATGATAAAAACATACAAACATTATATAGAGTAAAATAGATGAATAAAATACCACTGTGTGTGTGTGTGTGTGTGTGTGCGCGCATGTACTGTTTATATTAGATGGCGTGCATCCTAACTACCACAGACTATCCGGATGCCCCAATGTGTAAGTTTTTAATTGTACAAATATAAACTTCCCTTTCCTGTTTTTAATTTTTCCTTACATTAAGATCATTGTTGGTGTTTCTACTTTAGCACAACGGCAATTCATTGTGGATCTATTCAGCTTCGCCATTATCATCCACACACTGTGTCTGCGAGGCATGTTTTTTTTTTTCCACCAAAGGATTTAAAGTAATCCTGACAGTTGCGCAGCTACAGGAGGTGTTTTCTCACTGAGGCCAATGGCTGAAAGCACCACTGTGAATGATACTAACTGGCATCCTTTGAAAGATGGTCTGTGTATGTGTGTTTGTCTTTTTGTCTGTGTTCCAGTCAGTAAAGGATTTAGACAGTGGGTTAGCTGCAGCTGGCCCAAAAGAGAGATTACCAAATTAATTGAGTTATTTAAGCGAGACAAAAGATGTGACAGTCCTATTGTGCTGTGTTTAATTGTTCCAGTTGGATCATTTTAAACTCAGGTGATTCTGCTTTTGTTCTGTACATATTATCCTCACTGCGCACTCCATTCAGCCACATTCACTGGCTGATCAGTGTTTTAATAGATCTTTGTGTGATTTTACTTCATTAGGCGAGATTGTTTATGGCCCTGCATCACGATTATAACCCTGATTAAAACATGATTGAAGTGGCTTCATCTTATACAACAGAAACAGGCCAAATCTGACACACGTGGAATTCCCTATGAGTGCATCTCTGTCAGTTAATAAAGGAAGTGTTTACATCCTAATCCCACATAAGCATTTTCCAACACAAAGCACACAATTGTATTCAACATTATGTATGCATGCTGCATGTTCCCCCGATGTCAGGAAAGCATGGTGAGGTGTTACGCCGAGTCAACAGAGGCCCTCCCTCTGGGAGGCGCATACAGGCAGATAATCAGATTAAAGTGAGTATAGAGTTCAAATTGAGGCTTTTCATAGCAGGTTGTGCACTCAGTCACAAGTAGCCATCCACAGTGGACCTCCTCATTCACTGGAAGTAAGGAAACCAGCAGAGTAACAGCCAACATGCCAGTTGATTTGAATGGATATTGGAAAATGATTTCCAATGATAACTTTGAGGAGTACTTGAAGGCCCTTGGTGAGTTGATAGCAGCAGGGGGTAGTGGATGAATAGGCATGGTAAAGGCATATCATTATTAAATCACAAATATTAAGCTCTTAATTTCAAAAAGTTGACATTGTAAAGCTGTAAATAATCTTCTGCTATACATGAAGTAGTAGTGCATCATGTTTGCAGTCATCTAGTGTTCAATTTAAAATCTCCCATTGTATCAGTGCATTAATGAGATAAATGCACATTTATTGTGACATCTTAACATCTTTCAATTACTTTTAACTAATAACTGTAGTTATGGTCAGGAATACCAGACACTTTTTAAATGTAACTCGACAGAAATGTTCCACTTTGCATCAAAATAAACAAACCGGATTGAAAAAATAAACACTGCTGCAACATGTTTTTATATCTGCACACACATACTGGTTCAAACTCATTCCCCTTCTCTCCTGTTTCTTATTTATTTGCCTCCTTCTTTGGGGACCTGTTTCAGATGTAAATGTTGCCATCAGGAAAATCGCCACCTTGTTAAAGCCTGACAAGGACATCACCCACGACGGGGACCACATCATCATCAAAACCCTCAGCACCTTCAAAAACTACAACATGGACTTTTATGTGGGCAAAGAGTTCGAGGAGGATCTGTCGGGAGTGGATGACAGGAAATGCATGGTGAGTACTTGGACCAAAGAGGACATGTAATGCATTTTAATGAACGTATACATGATGCATGACTTTTTTTAAAGGCTTGAGAAACCTGTTAAACCACTTATTTAGGTGCTATAGTTAAATTACATTGCTGCAGGTGAGGGGGCCATTTTGCATTAACACATCTCCCATTGGTGCAAAACCTGTAAAATGTATAAACTGACTTTTCTTGGTGGCACCCCTCCAGATTATAATGAGCATATGGTGTGCTGAGATTTAGCCATTTTATACAAAACGTTGCACTTACTTACAAAACTTTCCTCAAACTTTTCACACTCTTGTCAATTAATTGATGTAATGAGGACCAATATCAGTTACTGCAGAAAAAAATAACTTGGATAGGCAAGACTTGCCTTTATTTAATCAGATTTTATCCCTGAATACTAAACAGGATCAAAGATTATCTGTGGTCCCTCTTGAAAAACCTTTTTCGTATGCTGATTATAGATAAGCTATAAGCTGTTTGGAGGGCAGCTGAGAGAAAGCGTCACGTGTGTCTGTATGTGCAAATTTGATCAGAATTTGTTTTTTTAAGAGGTGGTGGAGGAAGACTGAGGCTTCCCTTCCACATACATAAACATATACATGTATATAAGTTCAACCCTATATTTCTATGAGAGAAAAAATGATGCATCCACATCATGTATTATAATCAAATTTTCTCCCTGACCTGTGACCTCATGCAGACCACCATCAACTGGGAAGGAGACAAGCTGGTGTGTGTGCAGAAGGGAGAGATTGAAGGAAGAGGCTGGACCCACTGGGTGGAAGGAGATGAGCTTCATCTGGTGAGAAAACATCAGCTCCTGTCATGAATATTAATGTATGCAATTTAGACACTTTAATCCAAATCCAAAATGCCTCTCAGCTCTGTATGTGCAGAGCATATATTTTTTATGTATGACTTCTGAATCGGCTCACTGGCTCCAAAAGCAGTTACATTACATGTATGCTGTGTGAGGTTCATTCACACCGTGAAAAACGTTTATGCAAGTGTGTGGTTGTCATTGTGCTCATTTGTTACGAAATAAATCATACTATTTAAGGAGCTACCTGTAAGGGTACTGTTTTAAGAGGAAAAACATATGTTCAAGAAAGAACTTTTTAATATATTTTCAAATGAAAAACCATACAGATTCTGCTACTCGTCATCTAGCATCAGCATCGGCCACTGTCATGGTATTATCTGGACTTTTCCAATCTAATGTCTGTTAGAAGGACTTCATTAACTTTTCTTTTTTTAAAACATGTCCTAAGTGAAATTCATAGTGTGGCCCAGTGTGGCCTGTAATGAAAACATTAGCATCTGAAAAGACTTTAAAGTAATGACTAGCACATTACCATTTTCATTAGCTCAGCATTATCAGATTTCCCTCTCTGTGATTACTGCTATCAAAGCTAAGCAAAAAAAAATCTGCCAAATTATTTGGTTTAAGTGATGCCAACAGATGTTTTCAATCAGCCACCATGAAATTAGTTATTAGTTGGAAGTTCCCAAGAGCTGGAAGGAGGTTTTAATGTGGAGCAACAGTGGCCTCTGTTGGCAGAAAATAGATTGCTAGAAGGTTGCTGGATGCCTAGGGTAAAGTCAGACAACTGTTTTTCTCTGATTGTACAATTTAGGGAGGAGAGTAGGGCGTTTGATTATGTCATCCTCTTCTTGGTCATTCCTTTAGGTCCGTCTAAAAACTTTAAATTACCTTCTGTTCTCTGTAGGAGCTGAGAGCTGGAGGAGCTGTTTGCCAGCAGGTCTTCAAGAAAACCTAAGCTGGCTCTTACTGAACGGGACTGTGCCCCTGGATGACGTTGGCTCACAGTTGGAAGACTCTGACATACCATCCACCTTCCCTTTGGTCCATTCATACATCTCTATATAGGTCCATCTACCAATCTTTTATGTACTTTTCTATTACAAACGCTACTTTTGCCAAACATCACATCAGATTTTTGCATTATTCTGCCAAAGCCTATTCACATTATATATATTGTTATACAATTGAGTACAGTGGCAGGGGCAGTTTAGATGTGTTGGACGCATGCATACTGCTACTGTGGGTGTAACTGATCTGATGGGTGAGCCAGATTGGTAATGCATTTTAGTTCTCTGAAGGCTTGCTGTGGATGGAAAAAGATAAAAGTGTGAGTGTGTTTGAGGGCTGTGAACTCATTTGCTACTGATGCTTACTCTCCAGAATGGATATCAGATATAATGTGTGTATTTATCCCTCCCAAATTCCTCTGGGACTGTGACATTGACAGTAAAACTAATTAATTAATCAATAAAGTGAACAGTGCTACATAATGTCATTTGTCTTTTTCTGATGGTTAAATCACTTTTTTTTGTTAATCAGACTTGTTGGTAAAGTAAAATGTTTTTGTTAGTTCAGTCACACAAAAGAAATGACTGGTTGTTATTTACTGAATTTTATCCTTTTACCTGAAATTACCTTTTCTAGATGCACACAGGGAATCTACTTAAGAGTTTCAGTGAGTGAAGTGAAGCCTGTGGAGCTTCAGACAACTCGAAGCACACTCTGAATCAGCTCATCAGTCAGCTCACTTTGTGCAGTGCCATTACCAATTGGGCAGTCTGTATAAGCTGTCCAGCTCACTTGCTCATTCCCTGTTGCTGCTCGCCCTGCTGTTCTGCCTCCTGCTGCATCTTGTGCATTCACACCCCGCCACAACCCCAGCATCTACCTGCAGGCACTGTTTATTTATGGTTCCCCAGGGGGTTGTTATTGATCTCTCCCTGCTCTTGCTTTGGCTGATTAAAAAAATTATGCTCCCAGGGAGGGGTCGAAACAGAGTCTGGCGCCAGAGTAAATTTTATATTTGCATTTATTCTCCATAAAACGTTTCTACTAAGTGCAGCGAGTAATCTGGCTGAGAGTCTGTTACTCAACTCTCATTTTGATCAACAATCAACAGGCGAGCAGCTCGACACAGAGCATTTCATTTTCGTTCATTTCAAAGTCTACTCTACTAAAAAAAAATGTTTTCCTTGTTGTTAATTCACAAGGATGTTTTAACTTTACTGTGAATAATGATGTATGTGCACTAGGAGACACCCTGTTAACTGTAGGGGGAAAGGTTCTCTTTGCTCATCTTAATATGCAACTCAAAGAAGTGTGATATGGGAACCTGACCCCTTCAGAACATACACTGTGCACTGAGAATGGACTTTTTAGATATCTTGTGTCTGGTAGTTAGAATTGTAATCCTTAAGAACTGAGTCCTGCTTGATTTGGCGACACCTGTGGTTACTGGTGGTAATGCAGCACATTTTAATAATGTCCCAGACTTCAGCAGAAATTACCTCTTTATAAATCACTGGGAGCAGAAAATGCATTTTGACCATAGCTTCCTGTGAACTTGTCTCAGTGTGGGAATGGCCGTCACTGACATTTCTAACTACCATATATACAGATAACTAACTGAGAATAAAGCCATAAACAGCATCAGAAAATGGGTTTGATATGACCAACATCTCAAAGATTAAAACTTTATACTTTTGAAATAAACCTATTTGCATTTTCATAGATTCTGGATTTTTCAATTCAAGATCATTTTAAACAAGTTAACTGAACTTTTTGAGAAATTGCATCTATTTAACGTATTTCCAGAAATATTCACAAATGCAGATTTTTTTACTGTTAGACCAGTTGAACTTTATTAACCTTCATGCTCAAAGTTCAGGTATTCTGGATTAGTATTTGAGTTTGCCTCAGAAAAAGTTCAATAAAGAGCACACACTGTTGGCAGATGTTACAAAATAGCCTCTTCTGTCTGTACATTGTACACTGACCATCACTGTAGTGTCTGCATGTGTGTGAAGTGCATGTGGGACACAGCTGGTGTGTGTGTGTGTGTGTGTGTGTGTGTGTGTGTGCGCGCACCCTCATATAGGCCCTTTGCAACCTCCCCCAGTGACCGTATAAAGGCTGAGAGAAAAGGGTTAGTCTTCCCCCTCCGCCTCCTAAATAGCTGCCCCTGCCAATCACTTTGAAGCCATAAACTCACTTATCAATAGTTTTCTGCCCTCATGCCCCCTGACTCAAATAAAAGCAGCAGGACTCCCTGCACCTTCCCCCTCCTTACACTGTCTAAAGTCTACAACAACGCCAGCTGCCACCATGCCTGTAGACTTCAATGGGAAATGGATACTGGAAACCAGTGACAAATTTGAGGATTATTTGAAAGTGCTGAGTAAGAAACTTTTTTTATTTTGGTTTGAGATGCAGTCATATGTTTTGTTATAAGTTATATGTAGTATTACAAGGTGATGTGAGAGGTAAGCAAGCTCCACGTGTAACAAAATCATCCAATTTCATGCTCTCTCTCCTTGTGTTACTGTTAGATCTTATCTGGAGGTAATGCAAAAATTGTTTTATATAGCATTTATTTTACTACAGATTATTGAATATAAAACAATTATGATGTCAAATACAAAAATTACTCTCAGCTGCATTTTTTCTTTTCAATCATGAACAAAAATCAAGACTATACTGTAAGAATTTACATTGAAGTGAGTGAAACTCTGCACATTACCTCAGCTATTCCTGTAAAAATAGAATTTATGTACTACAATCTGGCTACTCTAAAACGTATATATGTATAATCAGTCTCTCTTTTCTGGCCCTAGATATTGACTTTGCAACAAGGAAAATTGCCATCTCCCTGTCTCAGACAAAAGTGGTAGCTCAAGATGGAGACAAGTTTGACTTCAAAACACTCAGCACCTTAAGGAACTATGAGCTGGCCTTCACTGTAGGGGTTGAATTTGATGAGTACACCAAGGGACTAGACAACAGAAATGTCAAGGTGGGTTGATCTCTCTTGTATATGGAGTCTTTGAAGTGACAAGCCCATGATAGTTTATCTGACTAGTCAATATTTCCCCTTTTCCTTGTTGCTTCTGATAATGAGAACATCGTTATCTAAGTGTGTCCAGGGCAAAGATTGGTCTTTGGTATCAGAGCTGCAATCACCAGTATTGTGCCGATGGTAAAAAATGAACAGAGATGAGCAGTGATGCACTGTTACGTTGAATGCCAACGAATGGAAAACCTTTGAAAAAGAAGTCCAGGGAAGACCAGGCTTAAATATGTTTACAGTTTCTCATAATATCACTGACAGAAATGACTTGCCAATGGAACCTCAGATACCTGCAGGCATTTTAGCCATATAATATAATAAGCCACAAGGAAAATAGGAAATGTTGTTGTGAGAGTAAATTAAGTTTATTTTTTAATTGAATTCATAAAACAGTTTGAGGTTATTAAAGCATTGTATTTTCACAGTCTCAATATAATAGGCCTATGTGTAACAAGTTGTTATTTATTAATAGTGTACGTTTAATTATAATTTTGGGACAGCACAGCTTATTTTAGTGACAATTTTTCTGAGACTCCCCAGAGGCACACTGACCGATATGTTTAGTATGTTTTTATGAAAAAGAAGAGCAAGTGTTATTAGTCTACAGTAAAAGCTGTTTTCATTCAGTGCTAATTACACATCAACATGAAAGCAATCCTAAATTGGCGAGTCTTAATAGCAGCAGTAACTTTGAGGTTTAAAAAGTCAGCCTGTGAGCGGTAAGAGTAGAGAATGCAAGTTTAGTGACAGGCTTGTCATTAGAGGAAATTCCTTACCACAAAGAAAAGAATACATTACAGAGTTATGAATTAAGCTCATTATTTAATGAATGCACTAAATGTTGTGTTGTAGAGTGTGGTGACCTGGGAGGGAGACAAGCTGGTGTGCACTCAGAAAGGAGAGAAAGCCAACCGTGGCTGGAAACACTGGATCGAAGGAGACAAACTCTACCTGGTGGGTTGGCAGTATCTGTCATTATAATTAGAGTTTTGTGAAAGATTTGAACCAGAACATGGGCTTATGCATTTGTTAAGTTGTCTAAGGACAGTTTTTACAATGTTATTGCTTTCATTTCTTTCTAATTATCCCTCTGCTGAATGATATTAACAGATTGAATTTTCTCCCACAGGAGCTGACGTGTGAAGACATAGTTTGTGTTCAGGTGTTCAAGAGAAAAGAATAAAAGGCAAAATATCTGCTTTTGTTTCCATTTACTCAGTTAACAAGGTCTTTGTTAGCTCAATAACATGTTTTTATCAAACTGATGAACAAAATAAAAAACGGTGTTTTTCAGACAATGTTTCGTTCTGTATGTGAATAAAAACAAACCTGTTGATGTTATGAATCAGCTGTGAGTTTGGGTCTATACAGTGGGTCTAACACCAGCATTAATAGCATTACTTTACACAAGGTGGCTGCTAGAAAGTCAAACTGATATCAAAGTTTGACTAATAGTACCTTTTATTTTAAAACACTTGTAATTAATGTGAACTAACGTACTTCTTCTATAGAAAGTGTAACACTAACTAAAGAACCGAGTAATAATTAAGTAAAAGTATCTGTTACACATTGCATTAAACACTTCCTATCATTGATAAAGTTGGGTATTTTCTAAAGCAATTCTTAAATCGCCATCTGCTGGAAAGATGTGGTAGTATGTTGGAGGTGTAATGAAATGACAACATATAACAATAACACCAAATCTAAACCTCTTCCACTTCTCTGGAAAAGTTGATGCAACCATGTGCAAAGTGTTTTTAATATATTTCATCACTATGCAGCATAATGCGATGGCTGGCTTGGAAAATAGCTGGTAGATGGTTGTTTATTATTATAAATTATTTCCATTCCTCTTCCCTCACTAGGATTAGTTTGACTGTGCTCTTGAGGGCGTACGTAGTTATTTTCTAAAGTAATGACTGACAGCTATTTGTAATCAGACCGATTCTACCGTGATGCCTCACAGTTAATATTCAGTGCATGTGTAGGCCTATGCTGTTTTTTGGTTGTGGTGTCCAGTCAGCTCAGTTTCTCACTAGGGATTTTCTTAAAATGTTATTGCAACATTTTACTGTTACTATAATATATCGTCTATAGTCCTATTTTATGTTTTAACATTTTACCCAATATTTACAAATGAACTACTGTATGTAGGATATACCTTGCTACAAAAACACGCCTGGCACAGTTTCCAAGGTCATCCCAATGTCCTCAAACACCTCTATATAGTTGAATTAAATCAACTCATTCATGTATAGGTTTATTTTCAGTTAACGATTAACTATTTATTGCTCAATAAATCTCAGACACGTATGAAATAGTGCAAACTAGTAATGTGACAGTATCTTGGTATAGTGGTGTTTGAACTCATTCACCCAGGGACAAGACAAACTGCATTATGTTTGCTTTCCTGTCACCGTGGCAGCAGCCGCAGCTGACCGTGTCACGTCACCACTTCCACCGCGCAACTCTCGCGAGATTGAGTTACAGGAACTTCCACGTCAGTATCCACTGCTCTGTTCACTGGAGTCGCAACATTTGGACCCGGATTGCAATTGTTCCCAACACAGTTATCTGATCTTATTGCGACAACGAGGGGATAAAACATGGTGAGAGACATTTAAAAGTAGTTACCGTCATGTTTTGTTTCCGTACATGTCACCCGATTCATTTTTTAAAGAACAATTAAGCAGTGTCAAATAATAATGCATCCTTGTAAATAGCTTAGCGGCTAACTAGCTTGAGTTAGCATGAGCGCTTGTAGCTGACTGCTGTTAACATTTCTAACCACGGCGGCCTGTAACCTTTGTATGTGCTTACAGTTGTTTTGAGTCAGTTGTCGATTTATTCATTATAGGTCGTGTAAGTATAGGATTATTGGAGCCTCTGAAATATATGAGGCTCAGTGTTAGCATGCTAACGGTTACTGTACTGCCTTTCCTGTTATTCCGGGTTTTTACGTTTGACGCTACAGACTTCTACTAAATGAAATAGTTAAATGCCCATAAAAAGCAACTTACACGGAGAGTTTGAACAGCATAGGAAAAGACACTGATGTCCTGTATCCTTTCAGCCTCTGAGGCTGGACATTAAGCGGAGGCTGACAGCCAGGTCAGACCGAGTGAAGAGTGTGGACCTTCACCCAACTGAGCCATGGATGCTGGCCAGTCTGTACAACGGCAGTGTCTGTGTGTGGAACCACGAAACACAGGTATGACCACAAATCACTGGACCACCTGTACAAAGCTGCACTACACGGTATAGAAAGACTGATTGCCAAACATTTATGCAAGAACACGGAGTGATTTGATGGACACCTGAAAGTAGTGATGATGCTGCAAACCATAACCATGTCAGCAATGTTCTTTCTTTTTTCCCCAGACTCTGGTCAAGACCTTTGAAGTATGTGACCTTCCTGTCAGAGCTTCTAAGTTTGTGGCAAGGAAGAACTGGGTCATCACTGGAGCAGTGAGTTACAACCAATTGTTTGTGGGATTACCGCCCTGACCGTCGTCATCCGTGACATTTATTTTGCAAACTAGTAATAAGAGAGTATGAGCTTAAATGTGTTTAACTTGGTGTGGTTACGTAGGTATGTGCAGTAAAATCTTGAGGAGTGTTATGTGATTATCTTTCTATACGTTTTTCTTATTTTCTGAGCTGTGTGTTCAGCTAATTATCATATTCAATAATCAATAATAATAATAATCTTTTCTCCCCTTTTCTCTCCCCGCGCAGGATGACATGCAGATCCGTGTGTTTAACTACAACACCTTAGAGCGGGTCCATATGTTTGAGGCCCACTCTGACTACATCCGCTGCATTGCTGTCCATCCGACCCAGCCCTACATCCTCACCAGCAGTGGTATGCTAGTAAAGCTGTGATGTTTTGACACTAGACTTTATTCATCACACAACTTAAATGTGTCTTTACACTGGTGTCCTCAAACACACATGTATTTTTGAGTGCACACATGCATTCATGTATTTCTGTTTCTGTTTCTGTGTAGATGACATGTTGATCAAACTATGGGACTGGGAGAAGAAGTGGTCGTGCAGCCAAGTGTTTGAGGGCCACACTCACTATGTCATGCAGATTGTCATCAACCCCAAGGACAATAATCAGTTTGCCAGTGCCTCCCTGGACAGGACTATTAAGGTAGAGAATTGCTGTTGCCACTTTTACTGCTGCTAATTTTATCTTGTCATTGGGTGAGTTCTGTGGGACACCCAGATCCTACTACAGCTTCTTTAATGACTACATAAAGCTAAGTCTTACATTACACACCTTACCTTCTACACACACACACACACATATCATATAATATCATAATCATGTGGTTATAGTACATTTCAGTCATTCTCTATAATGTCCTCTGGGTTTCAGGTTTGGCAGCTAGGCTCTTCATCTCCCAATTTCACGTTGGAGGGTCACGAGAAAGGAGTGAATTGTATTGACTACTACAGTGGAGGAGACAAGCCCTACCTAATCTCAGGGGCTGATGACCGCCAAGTCAAGATCTGGGACTACCAGGTTAGAAACCTTTTCATTCACTTAGGAAGGTGAGAGTAAGCAACAAAACACTCATCATGGAACTAACAAGTACTTGAGCCGGGCACAGGCTAATTTCCTGCTGAAAGGTCTTTTGTATCATTAAATTTAAAGATTAAATCAAAGATTATAGCATACTAAAGGAGCTGATAGTTCTAAAAAGATTGCGTTCTTCAATGATCTGCTAAATCCTTTCTGTGAGAATCCTTAAGCATTGTGTCTATATTTAAATGTTTCAACTATCTTTCTCTCTGTGTTGTAGAACAAGACCTGTGTTCAGACTCTGGAGGGCCACGCCCAGAACGTCTCTTGTGTCAGCTTCCATCCAGAGCTGCCCATTATCATCACTGGATCAGAGGATGGTGAGCAGGAATCCCACTAAATCTCCACCACAAACGCGTCTTCTTATGGTCTCATTGATCGTTGCTTTATCAACATTACCTCCTCCCCCTGTAGGCACCGTGCGTATATGGCACTCAAGCACTTACCGCCTGGAGAGCACTCTGAACTATGGTATGGAGAGAGTGTGGTGCGTGTGCGGCCTCAGGGGCTCCAACAATGTGGCGCTGGGCTACGACGAAGGCAGCATCATTATCAAGGTGAACAGAACAAAAAAAAAAATGCTTGAAAATTTATTTTGACTAAAAAAGAAATTGTCATTATGAAAAGTATCCAAAACTAAGTTGTCTTTTCTTTCTCTTCCTGTCTTTCTGCTATGGAGGTGGGGCGGGAGGAGCCGGCCATGTCTATGGACTCTAACGGGAAGATCATCTGGGCTAAACACAGTGAAATACAGCAAGCCAACCTGAAGGCCATGGGTGACGCTGAGATCAAGGATGGAGAGAGGCTGCCTTTGGCTGTCAAAGACATGGGCAGCTGTGAAATTTACCCCCAGACCATCCAGCATAACCCTAATGGAAGGTACCACAGGCCCTTTGATTAGCTATTGTTTTTTTTTCCAGAAACTGACATGAGCACAACTACTGTTTGTCTTCAGTAGCCAGATTAGAGATACATTTATAATAAAATCCCTGTCACTCATTTTTGCATTTTTTTTTTGTGCCCCAGGTTTGTTGTGGTGTGCGGAGATGGAGAGTACATCATCTATACTGCAATGGCTTTGAGGAACAAGAGCTTTGGCTCAGCGCAGGAGTTTGCCTGGGCACATGACTCCTCTGAGTAAGTATGATGTTTGAAATAGATGAGATACTTCTCTGCACCATACCTCTGTACCAGAGAGATGAAAGTTAACTGCTACACTTTTTATTTATTTTTTTTACCTTACAGATATGCCATCAGAGAGAGCAACAGTATCGTCAAAATCTTCAAAAATTTCAAAGAAAAGAAATCTTTTAAGCCCGACTTTGGAGCTGAAGGTAAGTTGAACATTGCTCTATAGTAGTATGGTGGCTTTGGAAGTGGATAGTTCCCACCGTCTTTTTCACTCGATGGGTTCCCATTCTTCCCTGCAGGGATCTATGGAGGTTTCTTGCTTGGAGTGAGGTCAGTGAATGGCCTGGCATTTTACGACTGGGAGAACACAGAGCTGGTCCGCCGCATTGAGATCCAGCCCAAACACGTAAGACTGTATTACTAAATGTAGTCTCTGGCAGTGTTTACCAAATTATTTGGTTCTACACCCAACT